CTGCAGGAAGTGGAACTGAGATGCTGGCTGCAGCTGAGCGTTCAGCACGTGGGCACGCTCCATCTTGTGTTTTCTCTGCTTGGAAGAGTTTTGGTTCCATCCTGTGAGGTCATACCATTTCAACCAGTAAGTTGGAGGTCAAGGCTTGAAACTGGGACACTGGGACAAGGAGGAATACAGTCAGGGTGATGAGGAAGGTATTCCCCGCTTCCTCCTTGACCTCCCAGGCCTTTGATTGCTCATGAGCAGCTATTACGGCAAGCATGGCTGAGAGCTCTCTGCGGGACCTGGCTCTCTGGGTTTATTTTTAGGGGTCCCCAAAGGGTGTCTGCCAGGCTGAAGCCTGGGGGAGAGCTTGGTTCCTGCACCCTGACCCTGAGGCACAGCTCTTAAGTGTCCTGGAAGTGTTATGGTCCCAGTGACTTCATGCTGGGAGCATCTCCCACGTGTAAGGTGGCAGCTGTCTCTGTAGTGTCACAGTTTGAGATCTAATTGGAATTTAGTATAACTAGTTTATTTAGATTTAGCTGTAGTCAGCTGGGTGAAGGTTTGATGTAGACAGTCCAGCCTCTGCTGCTGCCCTTCAAGTGGTGAGCGAGGCAAAGCCTGTGAGGCAAAAGCCTGGAAGGACTTTAAGGGGCCACGGGCCCATCTCCCTCCCCAAACCACGTGTTTCTTTCCATCAGCATGAAGTGGGTGCAAAACTCAGTCACTTGGAAAGCCCCTTCCTGGAGTGTAAGTGGTCTTCTAGAGATACAAACAAGGAGAATCATGTTCTCCCATCTTCATGGTTTTAGGATTAAGCTGTTCCAACTGATTTGGCACTGACAGCAGAGACTGGTGAACAACTGACGTCCTTAAAGGGTTCTCTAGGACCAAACTTGCATTTACAAAACGTGTCTAAGCTAAAGCCTGTTGATGTTCAGGAAATGCAGTAGGGCACCTTTTCCTGAGCTTTTCACTACCTGGAAGGTTGAATGCCCTCAAAAAAATCCCATTTCTATCCTGCTGAGGTTTCACAGTGTTATCACGAGTAGTTACTGCTGGCAATCCTCGCCCTGCCAGGAGTTGCTATGGATATAGGTGCTGCAGAAATGCCTGTAATAAACAATGGAATAAATGAACTTTACCCCTGGCAGTTGTACACCCCAGGGGTGATCACTTGTCCTGTTTGTGATCAGAGGTTACTTAGGTGTGCTTGTAGAGCTAGGGCTGCTCAAGGAGTTGAGAAGTGGAACAGAATTTTTGTGGGCTCAGCCTGATCTTGTGACATGCTTTTTCCCTTGCTGCTGCACTCAGAAGACAGAAGAAAGAGCTTTCGGAACAGCAGCCCCTTGAGCTTCCTGGAAACCCTGTGTCTGAGTAGACCCCCCCTCCCCAGAATAAACACAACCTGTTCTCTGGTGAGCAAGTTTCCCCATATAACTACAGGCAAGCTGAAAATTTCCCCTTAGTGTTGGAGTGTTGCCTCTTCTAAGAACTGGTGAAGGAGTTCCCTTGCTTTGGCAAGGAGTTTTAACACCGGAGAAAGACAGGTCAAGATACCTCAGGGCCTGTTTCTGTTTCATCTGAGCGTCGGTTTTGTTTCACACTGGTATTTTTGTGTTCTTTCCTTCCTGCCCTGCGTGCCCCAGGTACATCCGGTGCCGCTGTGCTCCATCTGAGTTTGGAATGGAGTGTGCAATCATTTCCAGAGAGCAGGAGGTGAAGGCTGCAGCAGTTTTCAGAGGCTGTAGCCAGGTGGGAAGCGAGCAGAGGTGGGAGCTGTGTCTGTAGCTGTACTGGAGCAATCTGAAAGCGCTTAGCAATGACGACTGTGTTGACTCTGGTAGGTAAATATGCCCGGGACTGTGGTGGCACTGAGGCCAGCTGGCAGAGGGTGAGGCATGCCATAACCTGAAACTTATGTTCCACACAGGGCAGCTGCATAGCAGGAATTGAACCACAAATCAGGAACGATTCCTGAGCTGACTCCCAAACCCTGCCTGGGAGTTGTTTGTATGCGTGTGAGTTGGCTAATGCTATGCTGGGAATGATGTTAACAATTTAGCAGAATAAATGAGCACTTTCCAGTTCAGGGAAACATTTCCTGGCACTGTTTTATTTACTGTTGAAGACTTAGAGCAAGTGTTGGCGAAATCTTAAGCAGGAAGAAGGATTTAAAAATATGCTATGGGTTTTGCTGATATGCTGCAATGTGACCTGAGCCCAGCTGGATGTGTCCCTGCTCCTGGCAAACAGCAGCTGGGTTGACCCCAGCGTCTCTAGCAGCAAACACAGTGCCTCCGCTGTGGGTGAGGAGAGGCAGGCTGAGTTCAGAGAAATAAATCAGGGATTTTATTCAGTATCTGCCCTTTCAGCAGGGTGTCTTCTTTCTCCACCGATCCTGATTGATCATGGGGATGTGCATACTTCTGGCATTGTGCCACCTGCCCACTCTCTGGGCGTTAGAGGGAGGGCATTCGATCTAGCTCGCACCAGGTTGCACTGGGCAGATGAGTAAGCAAGTCTGGCAATATCAAGCTGCTTTCCATGTTCAGGCCAAGCCAACTCGAGAAACCCTTAAAACTTGCTGATCAGGAACAACATGGTCACACACTTGGGAAACAAGCACAGAGCTGTCGGGAAGAGTGACAGCATACTGAAAAGGAAGAGATGTGAGAGGAGTCGGGGGGGAGATTTCCTGGTCCTGGGGCAGCTTATGCCCAGGTCTGTTTTCTTTCCTTGCAGCATCTTCAGCCACCACCTGAAGCTCTGCAGCTGCTGCTGGATGGTGGGGAGAGAAGTTAGAGCTAGGAAAGTGCCTGGTTGCACCTATTGCTCTGTGTCTCTTCCTTTTGTCTTCCCGTAGCCATCGGAGAAGCTGAGCTGAGTGCTCACGTGCTGCCCGAAGGACGCTGTTCTGGGCTGGTCACTGGGAATGGCTCTAGTCTCTTCGTAACAATACAAGGAAAAGTGCTTTAAATAGTTTACCAGTGTTTTTCAGCCTATTCTTCGATCAGCAGCCAGGCGAGGCAGCACCAACACTTCCAACTGGCTGTAGTTGGCCTATGCTGACATCTGCAGCACATCTAAACAGTGGGGTTTTTAATTTAAGGATCCACTTTGTGCATCTGTTTTCAGCAGGGAAGGAATAACCGATTACATTTGTCTCTGGCAGGAATTAAGCACCCACACAATCCAGTCCCTTAGGCGATTTCTAATTTGTCTCTTTGGAAGGGCTCCTGCCAAAGCAAGGGCCACTTCCCATTCTTCTCAATGAGACGGTGCTACTCTTCACACCCAAAAAGGTCAGCATCTTCTCAAAATGGTAGTGGACAAGCAGGAGAAGCGGGAGGCAAGTGTCCTTTCACAAGGGACAATTCATGATAAGTGCCCTTGATTTTACACACACAATTTTCTGCTGGCAGGTGAACTTTATAACACGAAAAAACCCACAGAAAAGGACCACTGACCTAGTTACACCTGTAACACTTTCTGCACCCCGTGAGAGGGAACTGGGGAAGCCACAGAAGATACCCACAGTGCCAAAAACCCCCTTTTTTTCTAACAAGTAATTCTTGTTCCCCCTCTTCAAACACATGTGGGAGCTGAACAAAAATCAACAATTGCCTTCCCACAGGGCTGCAGAGTTTCATTGCTGCTCGGTTTGTACCCTCTGTCCAACTGTGTCACGTACACTCGTGCATGACTGCACAAATTGGTACTTCCAAAACAAACACCCTCTACATCTGTCTCGTTTTCATCGCATGTTCCGCAGCTCTGAAAGTGAAAGCTGTCTGGCAGTCACACAGCTTATTTTTTTAGTGTTTATGTAAAACCTCTCAGCGTGGCATTCAACACCACAGCAAAAGTTGTATTAAACTCTATTTTTTATAACCCCTGCATGTGTGCATGTGTCTAGTGGGACGGCAGCTTGGCTGTAACAGCCCCGAGAGGAGGATGAAACTACCTTCGACCCCAGCCCTTGCAGGGAGAAGTACCTGGGAAAGAACCAGGCAGATCCACAGCCAGCACCAGCTTTCCCTGCTGCAGTATTTACTCCAGAAGGAGTGCACTAGGAAAGGGGGAGAACCATAATTTAGTATTAAATCTGCTGCAGGCACCACATTTCAGAGACAGAGCTTCAGTGAGCTGCGAGGTTTGAACAGAGTTGGCATCAAAACCAGAAACGAGGATGTTGACATGTTTTACTACTGGACTTAACAAATACTTCCTCCCTTCACAAGGGTGTTGATCATCTGCTTCCCTCTCCTACAGAACACAGCCCTGTGGCCTTCGCAGTTTGCTTACAGCACAAATAAATAACCTGTTGGAAAATAACATTTTTGTTTCTTTAAAAAGCTGAACTGGGCTCTGAGTGGTACCAACGAAGCAGCACCTGAAGAGGAAACCACTAAAATCCACTGCGACTGTTCCTGCTGGTATTTAACAATGAGCATATCTCGACAGAAAATGAAGTGAAACGGTTGTTAATAGAAACCTTGGAAACTTATTCAATTGGATGCCACTTATTTGCAAAACCTAGGTTTGTTTTAATGAAGAAATAACACTATTTCCTAATTATCCTTTTTTTTTTTCTTTTGATTTCTCTAACAATTACTCTACAACCTCTGCTGTCCTGCAGCCAGCTCCCTGGCTTCCCTCCCTCGCTGCGTGGGGTCCTGATGGAGCCAACGGCTCTGCGCGGGGCTGGGCGCTGCGAATCGCAGAGTGTCCCCAGAGCTCGCAAGATGAGAAGGGAGATCACAGCCTGCTTGCTAGCTCTGTGCAAAAGAGTTTTCCAGTGCAACGATGCCCTGAGGAAAAAGGAAAAGGTAGAAACCGGTGTCGGTACTGCCCACGCATCTCATGAGTCACAGATGGATAGGAACCGGCGGATAGATCCAGCAGAATCCAGCGTGCACTGCCCTTGGATGGGACACGCGTCGAGTCTGCGCGGCACGGTTGCTGGCGGGGGCCTGCTTGGTCCCAGCCCTGCTCCCATGTTCCCAGGTTCTTCAGGAGTCCCTTCGGTGCTTCTTCTGTTCGTGGTACTCTGTTATTTTCTGCTGGAAATATGCTGTGGATGAGAAAAGGTCGTTGGTGGAACGCTGGGGCTGGGGAGGACATGGGGCTGCACAGCCCAAGTCCTGGGGAGGGCCTCTGCACCCCGTGAGCCAAACCGTGCTGGGTTGAGGACCACTGCACCCAGGTGAAAGCGGGGTTGTTGCAATTGCACCCATCCCTCTCACCTACCCAAAATGGGCTTTATGATGCTGGGTTAGCGTAAGTTTTTAACCCTGGTGTTCCCTCCTGTTCAGTTTTTGTGTTTCCTCTCCACCCAGCAAGGAAGAGAGGAAGCGGGAAGCTCTGGGAATGTGAACAGCCAAAAAGGTGATCTGAACTGGGAATCTAATGAGGAAGCTGGGTTGTGCCATCCCTCTCCCAACCCCAGGCAGACCCAGGTCCATTTCTGCCCTGTAAAGCCTGACCTAAACGGGCAGAGAAAGCAGCAACCAAGGTGGTGCCGGGCCCCCGAGTCCCCTGGCCAGGCTGGAGAGGGACCCACCACGGCCCCATCTGAGGGGATGCTCGCTTTGCCCACTGTGGCAGTTGCTGATAAGAGTGCAATGACTCCACCCTCTCCACGCACAAGATCTCAGGGTGGCAAGTCCCAGGCCAGGATGTCTCTGGCCACTGGAAATGTTTTGGGTGGCAACCTCTGTCACTCCTGTTTGTCCTCATCCCGGGCTGGGAGGAGGCTCAGCTCTGCCCAGCACTCTGTAAATCCCCTGGAAGGGGAAAGGTCCAGCCCAGCCACCACAAGCCGTGCCAGAGCTGGTGGCAGAGATGAGTCAGGACTCTCAGCAGCGCAGCCAGGACCTAGCTCCCAGCTGCTGCCTGTCCAAGCCAAATATTTGCACTGCTACTGGCAGGTTTGCCTAAACACTGAGCTAGCAGCAAGCCTGCCCCGTCCCCAACAAGCAATAAGATCTAAAATGAGCCCAGGGATTTTCTTGACTGTTTGATGGGGACAAAAACGCAACTGGTGCAAGCAAACGGGTGCTGCTGGCTGCTCTGAGCATCCTCAGCTTACAACTGCATCCCTCTCTGGGCACAGGGCATTTTTTTCCAAATAGCCCCGGACTTTGCAGAGCTCACCCGACTGGAGAGGGAAGGAGAAATGGGGTCGTTTACCTTCTTGTGGGATCCTGCTCTTCTCCGCTTCCTCAATAAATAGGGAAAACATGTTTGTCTTCACAAACTTCTTCACAAACTTGCGGTTGGTCTTGGAGGCGATGGCTTTGCAGAAGGCTCGCTCCTGGAAGGTGCCTGAGCCGGTTTTACTCCACTTGATGTGCGAGGCGTAATGGCCAACCAGTCGGACGAAGAAGTGCACGAAGGCTTCGGAGACGAGCGCGTTCACCTGCTCGGATGCTGGAAGAGGAAGCAGAGGATGAGAGGTGGGGATGGGACCTCTGAACACAGGAAGGACGGCCGTATTTTAACCCAGCCAGTTCAGAGTTTCTGTTCGCATCCCGAGGAATTATTTGCTTAAAACCTCCCTCTGCCAGTAAACACAGATCAGACTAATTTTGCTGAGGGAGCACTGGCTGGTTTTGCTTTCCAGGGTGGTGGCATCTTTGTGGGCCAAATATCTGCAAATCTGATTTTTTTCAGCAGAATTAGTTGTTCTTGCCCTCAGGTTTTGCAGGGCAGGGGAAAGGCAAGGGATTTCTCTCCCGTGGCTGTGTTTTATTGCAAACTGGGGCAGAAACATCCCAGGAAAACCATTTCACTGAGGACTCTGGCCATCTGCAGAAGGCAGCCTGCATCCGTTTCACCAGATATAGAGAGGCGTACTTACTGTGTATGTTGTTGTTGTTGTTGTGCCTGTTCAGGGACATCAGCATCTCATTCTGCAGCTTGATGGGCAGGATGTCTTCCTCATCGCCAACCTGGAAGACAAGAGGGCTGTGAAGCATCTGGCACCGATGGGAACCCGGCTCAGATGGCAACGGGCAGTGGTTAGTGCAGCCCCTCGCTGTGGCTTTCCACAGAGCTCATTAATTAATTATCACTGCAGGCTGCTGCAGTGATGCTGGGCGCGGAATTCCCAACACATGGACCCTGTTGCTCCGGCTCACAGCAAGAGAGATGCAGTGGATGGAGACATGTCCCCTGCATGGGTGACACTGAGATGTCTCTGCCCCCGGAATGTGAAAGCTGCCAGGTAGCTGGGACCAAGGGTGGGAAGGGGCTCTTGCCAGGGCTACCCAGGCCAGGTGAGCCCACCCCCATGGCCTGCACAGGGAGACCTACCCTCCGGATCATCTTCCCTTCGCAGAGGTCAACTATCAGAGCCTGAAAGAGAGCAGAGAGCAACCAGGATTAGCCCTACCAGGGCACCCACCCTCCCACCCGTTTTATCATTTGTGCCCACAGCACAGGAAGGTGTCAGGAGAAGGGTCAGTCCCTCAGTGCTGGAGGGATCTGGGCAGTGGGACCAGGATGTCACCCCAGGGACCGTGTTTGCCCCAGGCTCAGTGCCTTGTCGCCACACAGCCTTCCTCCCCTTCTGCAAGGTTGGGATGATGCCAACAGCCAGCCTGGCTGACAGCAGCTCCCTGAGCTGGAACATGGAGGTGTTTCCCCCAGTACCAACAGGAGGGGACATGCAAGAAGCACCAGTCTCCAGCCTCGCTGGATGGGAGATGGGCACAAGCAGAGCCTTCAGCCTCAGAGCCAACCCAAACCCAGGGTCACGGACTAACCAACGGCTCCATCCAGATGCTTTTCCCTGCCCGGATGAAATACCTCCTCCATCGGCTGGTCCAGGACCCGCTCCAGGTAGCGCATCTGGATGCCGACCATGAAGGGCGTGGGGCAGCATACAGTGTCGAGCAGGCACTCGGGGACCACAGGGATGTAGGTGTGAGCCCAGGTGAAGGGGTAGAGGAGAGCAGCCACGGCATGGATGCACTGCGACAGGACACTGTGGGACAAGGAGCCATCGTGGTGGCATCGTGTGAGGAAAGAGGATTTCACTGCTCGGAGGGAACCTCCCACCCCAAGCTCAGCGTTGTCCTGCGCTCCTTCAAGGGTGGTTTTTGTTTTATTTTTAAATAAACAGATCAGGACTCACCTCAGCTCCTCCGCCAGGAAAATGAGCCGTCGCTCCAACACGGCGGAGGCGAAGATGTGCAGGATGAGGTGGGGGCTGAGCCGCTGGAGCAGAGCCTGAAACTCCACGTGCTCCAGGTGGGCGTCTACGGGCCGCGTGAGCTCGATGAGCTGCCAAGGGAGAGCCACCAAACCCCAGCTCAGGAGGTGCAACGCTCCCCCCATGCCGCCCTGGCCCCGAGAAGGTGATTTGGGAGCAGTCAATGACCCAGAGCTTGCAGCATCTATGTCACGTCCCTCTGCAAGGGACAAACCTCATCTTGTCCTGCCTGCAGACTGGGGCTGTGCAGCGCTGAGGATGTGGGAGAAGCCAGCAGCAATGTATGCTGTGGGGTCTACTTATCAAGGCACTGGATTTTCTGCCAAAATGCCCCTTTTCTGCAGTGCTCACAAACCCCTGGTAGGAGATGGGCAGGGTCGTGCACCCACCTCACCTGTGAGCAGCAGCTACTAGGAGAAGGAGGAGGGCTGAGGGCATGACTTTTGCTATAAAAACCACAAAAACTTCCTCAAAAGACTCTCTGGGAGGGCCAGCTCCCCTCATCCTAGCTAGGATGACCCAAAAATGCATTACCAAATGGATATTTTCAGGTGTCTGTTCATTCTGCTGGCTTTGCCCCAGACAAGAGTCTCTCAGACCCGGTCGATACCTCTGCCTTGCTGTGGGCAGCCCCGAGACGGTGAGAGCTGAAGGGTTAACAGGACTGTGTAGCTCATGACAGACTCCTGCCCCCTCTCCCCAGCTTTACAGGGAGTTGGGGGCAAGGGGGGGAATCCCATTCCTCCTTGTGCCAATCTGCCTTTACAGCAAAGCAGCATCTTCCCAGCCAGCAGCACAGGGCTTGGCTGGGCTCCACAGCCCCATTCCAGCACAAATCCTGCCCGATCCCCAGCTCCCAGCCCATGCAGTACCCAGCATTTATGTTCACCCCTTTCCCTGTTTTCTCACTGATCTCACCTCGCTGAAGCCCCTGCCCAGAGCCCCAAAGTGTAGCTCTTTCGAAGAATGTCCTCATCCATCCTCCCTCCCATCACCCCCAGACGTCGTCCCTGTAGCCTGGCCCTCAGCCAGACCCTTGAGCAACCCACGCTGCCCTTGCTCAAGTCTTCCTGGGTGAAGAAATCGCTTGCAATGCGATAGCCAGCTGCTGAATTGCACTAGAGTGGAGGGATCTCGCTCTCAGACCCACCCTGGCAGGACAAAGCCCTGGGATGCTCAGCACTGAGGTTATCTTGCCTGGTGCCCAGGCAGATCCTCCCACTCCTTGCACCTCAGATTTGCCACAAAAGGAGAAAAATCAAAGGAAAAGGCTCTGCCTGTGCGAGTCTGGGCTGTGCGTGGGCAAGATGAGCCCCATGGGCACCGTGCCCGCATCAGATCTCCTTCCCACAGGTAAGGGTGAGGCTTGCAGCACCCTGCGCCATGCCAGCTGCCCGCTCACAATGCTCAGCAAGGTGGGTGCTGAGTGCTGAGTACCGTGCTGCCGAGGGGCAGCTGCAGCCTGCAACACCCCACGATGGCCCCAGCATCCCCGTGCACCCCACCAGCCCCGCACGCCGCACCCGGAAGCGTGAATGCGGGCTGACGAGCGGGCGCAGCCAGCCCTTCTCCACGGCCCCAAGGATGTGCGAGCACCGATGTGTTAAGAAACAGCGTCCGGGGAGGTTTTTGCTGGCAGCTCCAGCTCGAGACTGATGGAGCTGCAGAAACGGAGCAGGAGGATGCAAAGAGGGGGCAGCATCTCCTGTGGAAGGGCTGCATCTTCATCCTCGCGGCTTGCTGCTCTCCTCCTGGACCAGGAGGGAGGTGGCACCCATATTCCCAGGGCACGAGGCCCCTGGCAGCCTGAACCACCACCCACTGCTCCAGTGAGCATCCATGGGTGCTGCAGGTGTGGAGGATACTCCCAGAGACAGCCCAGACTCCCTGTGTCAGAGCAGTCCAGGAGATGCTGCTGAGCCCCTGAGACTCCCACCAACCTCTGTGCCTGACTCAGGGATGAAGCTTTTAATGGTGACGGTTTTCCCTGGAGCTGGGAAGGGCGATTCCCGCAGGCCCTGCATGAAGGGGTAGATCACGGCTGCAGAGATCTGGTGCCTCTTCTCCACCTCGTCCAGGATCTGGGGGAGAAAAAAGTGAGCTGTGAGACCCCAGCAGGCACCTGGGTGGCTGCCTGGGCCACCACTGTGCCAGGCAGAGCCACCACCTCCCTACCTTGGAGAAGAGCCCGAAGCAGCCCAGGCAGCTGATGATGCAGAAGACCTCAGGGAGGCGGACACCACGGCCGGATGGCTGGAAGAGGATGGGAAAAGGGTTTGAGCATCTCCCAGCCCTATTTCCCTGCTCTCTCCAGAGATCCCCCTGGCCCCACTCA